CTAAGATGGCGTGATCCTCCAGGAAGCACTTCAACTGGGACTCGACTATTTTCTCCAGTACTTTAGAAACAAATGGGAGTTTGGAGACAGGCCGATAGTTGGAAACGACTGAGGGGTCAAGGTTTGGTTTTTTCAGGAGAGGCTGGACGGCAGCATGTTTAAAGGATTTTGGCACCACGCCAGTGGATAAACTACTGTTTACTATATCAAGAATGGACGGACCTAGAGTTGGAAACACCTCCTTTAGTAGTTGAGGGGGGACCACATCAAAGTGGGAGCCAGAAGGTTTCAAGCTGCACATGACCTGCTCTAGAGAAGATGGAGTGATGGGTTCAAAATGGTCAAAAGGAGCTACAGATTGAGGTGGGATGGATGGGTCATGAGTTGGAGGGGAAATGGGAGCACGGGTGGTCACAATTTTTTCCACAAAGAAATGTAAGAAGTTGTTGCACAGCTCAGTTGAGGCTTCCAGAGGTGATGGTTCAGTGAGGTGGAGAACAGAGTTTAGGGTGGAGAAGAGGACACGTGGGTTGTGAGAGTTTGAGGTAATTATATCAGAGAAGAATTTGGATTTAGCAGCTTTTACTGTTTTCTGATAATGGCGCCAACTCTCTTTAAGTATCTGGAAAGAGACCTGCAGCCTGTCTTTCCTCCACTTTCACTCCACCCTCCTACATTGCTGCCTAACGGCCTTGGTGACGTCACTCAGCCAAGGTTCTGCTCTCAGTTTTGATTTTCTAGTTTTAACAGGTGCAACATGATCCAGAGTCTTCAAGCAGACAGAGTTGAACTGGGATGTCAGCGCCTCAGTGGTGGTGAGAAACACTGGGGCCTGAATGATCATTTCAGAGTTATAAACATCTGTGAAACATGTGGCAGTGAAGTGGTTAATGGTCCGAGTCCTACGTGCAGGAATGCACGACTTAGGAGTTAGATGGGGGAGGGTGAACTCAAACCAGACTGGCATGTGGTCTGAAAAAACATTATCACCAATAACAAGATTATTAACAGTCACATCACAAGTTAAAACAAGGTCCAGTGTATGTCCACACTCTTGGGTGGGACCGTTTACATGCTGAGTTAAATTAAATGAGTCCAATAAATCTAAAAAGTCCTTAACCAAGGGCTTCTCAGGACAGCACACGTGCAAATTAAAGTCCCCAATAATGAAAACATGATCATATTTTGGTGTGATTTCAGCCAAGAAGTCAGAAAACTCATTTATGAAATCCTTAGATCGAGGTGGGCGGTAGACGAGTGCAAATAAAGTCTGAGGTGAATGTCCGAGTTCAAAGACGCTCAGCTCAAAGCTGGTGCAGGAAACTGGGATGGGCAGTTGTTTACAGTCAAAAGTTGATTTGAATATTGTTAATAATCCACCACCGCGCCGGCCTAATGGCCGCAGAGCGTTAAAATACAGACAGTTCGGTGGAAGTAATTCCATCAAGGCGCTGGACTCACCCAGAGACATCCAAGTCTCTGTGCTGCACAGAAAGTCCAGATCGTGCTCTTGAAAGTAATCCCTGAGAATAAAAGTTTTGTTGGTAACAGATCTTGCGTTGACCAAACACATCTGGATACTGTTCAAAGTAGAGCCAGCAGCGGTGGAGTTAGCGCGCGCTAATGGCCGCAGGTTTTCAATAACAGCCCCTCCAGGTCAGTCCGAGCTGCGCACCGGCTGAAAACTCCTGCTGGTTACCTGGTCCGGGCACACAGGAGAGGAAGATGTAGCACGCAGAGCTTTCAGCTTCACCAGCTGACCAGCACGTTTTCCAACATTTTTCAGTCAGGTCATCTGGACAGTTTCTTTATTTAAAGAAACTGTCCAGATGACCTGACTGAAAAATGTTGCATTTTATTTAACCTTCAACGTGTTCATTCATGTTGGTTTAAAGACGTTTAGTCGACGTGAAACAAATATTTTCATGATTTCTTCTTTTTTAACGTTTCATTTGAACACAATAAAAAGATGTTTATCGTTTAATATCAAGAAATAAACTTGATTGTTCCGTCCAGAACCAGATTTAATGCTTTGACTCCCAAACGCTCCGTTCTTTACCAGCTGGAAGGTGTTTGTCAATAAAAACAAACCCGGTTCTGTGCAGATGCGGTTCTACCGGGCCAGCCAGGCCATCATGGACAAGGCCTCCATGCTCTACAACCGCTTCAAGAACTCCTTCCTGGTGGGGGAGGGCGAGGAGGTGGTGAGCGCCGCATTCCTGCGCTCACTGCTGGAGCAGAAGGAGCAGGAGGAGCAGGAGAGGGCGGAGCTCTGGAGGAGAACGTTCCTGCAGGAGGCGGAGGGAGCGGCAGGAGGTGAAGCTGCAGGTGGGTCAGAGCGTTGATGCCATCTGAGCTAAATAAACACAATTAACTAATTTAATAAATTAAACCAATTAAAAACTAATTTAATAAACAAACCTTTAATTAGGTTAGCTGCCTTCAAATGTTCAACGTAGTCAAGGTTCTTTATTGTCATTCTCATCACATGTGATACATGAGGTGGAACGAAACTGTGCACAGGGTCCCAGTTACATCCAACAAAAGTATAAAATGTAAAATAAAAACAGTGATAAGATCCAAGATATGAACTAAGAACTAAAAATACAATAAGCACTAGTAGCATAAAAACAGCATGCTGAACAACAGCAGCACGAACATGAGTCTCTGTGAGCTGATGAGTACGAATGAACACGGCAACATGAAATAAATCAGCAGCATGAGATCAGCAGCATGGATAATCAGCAGCACATATCAACAATGAAGTGGCATTACAGTGATTTTTTTTTCTCAGTGATTTTCCTGGATAGAGATCCATGAGCCTCAGGGTAGAAGCTGTTCCTCAGTTGTTTTTGTTTAATAATTAAAGATATGAATGAGCTCAACATGTACGAGTTAAAATGATAAAATATCACCTGTTAAAGGAGGATAACAGGATAAACTGCTCTGAAAGATTAAAACTGAGCAAATTATAACTTCCAAGGATTTCAAACATGACTGAAGTCTTAAAATGTAGAAATCAGATTTTAAAATTCATAAAACTGACGAAGCCTTAATTTTACTGAGAGGTGATGACATTTAATGAGAAACTAAGAGAACAGATGTGAAACCGTCATCACTCAGAGAGTCCGGACCACATATAAAACTGTCGTCACTCAGAGAGTCCGGACCACATATAAAACTGTCGTCACTCAGAGAGTCCGGACCAGACATGAAACCGTCGTCACTCAGAGAGTCCGGACCAGACAGGAAACTGTCGTCACTCAGAGAGTCCAGACCAGACATGAAACTGTCGTCATTCAGAGAGTCCGGACCAGACATGAAACCATCGTCACTCAGAGAGTCCAGACCAGACATGAAACCGTCGTCACTCAGAGAGTCCAGACCAGACATGAAACTGTCGTCATTCAGAGAGTCCGGACCAGACATGAAACCGTCGTCACTCAGAGAGTCCGGACCAGACAGGAAACTGTCGTCACTCAGAGAGTCCAGACCAGACAGGAAACCGTCGTCACTCAGAGAGTCCGGACCAGACA